GGATTCATTAAAATATACATGAAAGGGAGTTTTCTTCTTTCGTATACTGGTTCTAGAAAAGGCAGGTGATCTTTGGATTCTTGCATTAACAATATTGACTTGAGTAGTGGGGCAGTAACTTGGAAGGGCCAAGGACAGATTTCCCTGTGTGTGGGATATTCTGAATGACAGAGAAGGTGCCATGATTTGGAGATGAAGTTGTAACATTGGCACCTGGGATGGATCCATTCATTGGCTCTGAAGAAAAATAACATTTGAATTTTTTCCCTAGTCAACCATTCCTGGAAGGGATGTTTTAGTGCCTCATATTTTAGAGAGCACAGAGAGTTGTAAACTTAATTTCAAGCAAAGATAGGAGGAAGCCTTGTGGACTGACTTCCTAATTAAATAGACAAAGATGACGTGTGGTTTGATTTGTCATTTTCAATTTTATTTTGTTTAATTTTTTTGAGACAGAGTCTTGCTCTGTCGCCTGGGCTAGAGTGCCGTGGCATCAGCCTGGCTCACAGCAACCTCAAACTCCTGGGCCCAAGCGATCCTCCTGCCTCAGCCTCTCAAGTAGCTGGGACTACAGGCGTGTGCCACCATGCCTGGCTAATTTTTTCTATTTTTAGTAGAGACGGGGTCTTGCTCTTGCTCAAGCTGGTCTCAAACTCCTGACCTCAAGCGATTCTCCCACCTTGGCTTCCCGGAGTGCTAGGATTACAAGGTTAAGCCACGTCACCCAGCCTGTAATTTTCAATTTTAAATGAACTGTGTCAGATAGGCTAATTCTGCATTGTCCTTCCTATGTTAGGTTCTTTTAAAATACGTTTTTTGTGACCTGAGTATGCTTGTGATCATTCGAGCAAAGCAGCACTTTTGTGATGTTGTAGCTAGTTGTTGAATCACTAGTAGCATTTGGTAAGCTTCAGAAGCTTATTTGATTATAGTGCTGACATCACTGTGCTGACGTGCTGAAGACCTAAGGCCTAGGTCGATCTTTGGGTTAACCACCTGCTGGTTTTGCTTTGTTTATTGACTGTGGAAATCACCCATCTGTTTGGCCTATGTTTTTCAAATTTGGCGTGATCATTTTCATCATCAAGCCCCACTCCTGGTTTAAGAACATACAGTATAGTCTTCGTTCCTCCTTATGTCAAGTTCAAACTCCTCTATCTGAATTTTTAGGATTGTGCATTATTGGTTTCCATTCATCCATTCCAGTCTCATTTTTCAGAATTCCACCTCAGGCTTTTTGCCTTGTGACCTGGGGCAAGCTGTTTAATCTTTGAGCCTCAGTTTTATCATATCTAAAGTAGGAATCATACTAATAGCTCCTACATCACAGCGTT